GGGAACTCGGCGCCACACGCCCCCACGTATGCGGCTCGCATCGCACATTTGCTAAGCACCTCGGAGGCCGGGTGACAACGGCTAATAAAGGTGATGGCACTTGGTTCCCACGGCCCAGCCATTCCGCTTGCACGCACGTACGCTAGAAAACTCAGCAACACAGAGGTGCATGACTGTCCTCTCAACACAGTTCACAGCATCAAAGTCAGAAAGCCCCGGTTATTCCTCAGTAGGAAAATGTTGCGCCACAAAGAATAAAAATAGTCAAGAGAATTTACACTGAAGTCAGGACAGTGGTTCTCGCTCGAGGGGGCAGGGGAGGGGGAGAGGGCGGGTAGCGCGTGGGCACCTGAAGTGTTGTGGGTGTCTTAAACTTTTAATTACGAAACTATAAAATGAAAATTGATCCACGCAGAGTAAACACGAGAGGCAAGAAGGGAGGAGACTAACCCATCCAGGAATAGCCATGATTATCCCTTAACATTTACAAAGAGCACGATTATTCTTGATTTGGTGACACAGACACCAGCCCCACTTGTTGATAAACCACAATCCACAACCAGGTTCCTATTAACGTGCCCAAGGGCTGGATTGTAACAATGGCCAAGTAGATGCTCCCTTGCCTGGCTTTATGCCACCACGTGGAAGGGTAGGAAGCGTCTCGCAGAGGCCTGTGTGGTTTGCCGCGGCTCATCCTCACGGCGGGCAACATCCATGGAGGACTTCCCATGTGCCAGGCCCGGCATTCGGGGCTCGGGATGCAGCAGCGGGGAACCCAGGTGTTTTGCCCGTGGGGAGCTGCGACGCCCTGCTGGCAGGGCCTCCTGGGTTCAGCACTTGCCCGGCTACAGAGCAGGCTTCAGGTCACTGGGATGCAGATGACCGAGCAAGTGCAGGTATCTCTCCCACTCTCTTGTTCACATTCCTTCCTTTGCATAACTCGTGGATAACTCCGAATAGGAACTCTTTTGGTGCCAAATGAGGCTATTTCACGAAAGGGCTCCCCAGATTTTACCAGTTTTGTTGTATCAGTCAATGAAGTGACTTCTTCATTTCACTTTTCACAATGAAGTGAAAAATGCAATGTTCACCCCACTTTAATTTATTATTAATTTATTATTAATTTATTTATTTATTTATTTAGCAAATGTCCAGTGAGCAGCTATGCTGTGTGCTGATTGTGCTCAGCAGTAAAGGAACATGATGCATTATGGGTCCAGGTGTTTGCTGAAGGAGTGAAGGAATGAATGGGTGAATGAATGGTGTCATGACCACTTGGTAGAGGCAGGACATACTTTTCCATGAGACTATAAGGCAGGTAGCAATGGCCTGGGACTGGAAAACATTTAGAGCATCCTTTTACTTAGGTAGTCTTGTAGATAAATAGGAGCACTGGTTTTTTTTTTCTTTTTCTTCTCTTAATCTTTAGTAGAGGAAGTATGGAAATATATGCCCATAAGGGTTTTTCCAGTGAGCGAAAAACAAAATCATTCTTTTGATGGCTAATATTCCATTGCATACATACACCACATGTTTATCCATTCATCAGGCGACAGACACTTGGGCTGCCTCCATGATTTGGCTACTGTTGGTACCACTGTGTGGACAGTGGGGTTCATTTATCCCCTTGAGTTAATGTTTTTCTTTTTTTCTTTTTTTAAAGATTCTATTTGTTTATTCATGAGAGACACAGAGAGAAGCAGAGACACAAGCAGAGGGAGAAGCAGGCCCCACGCAGGGAGCCCGACGTGGGACCCGATCCTGGGTCCCCAGGATCAGACCCTGGGCCAACGGCGGTGCTAAACCGCTGAGCCACCCAGTCTGCCCCGAGTTGTTTTTCTATTAGGGCAAATTATTCAGCCATAAGAAAGAATGAAATCCTGGCATTTTCAATGACATGGATGGAGCTAGAGAGTACTGTGCTAAATAAAATAAATCTGATAGAGAAAGACAAATACATCTGATCTCACTCCTATGTGGGATTTAAGAAATAAAACAAATGCACAAAATAAAATAAGGAGAAAGAGAGAGAGAGAGAGAGAGACAAACCCAGGAATAGACCCTTCACTCCAGAGAGCACGCTGGTGGTCACCAGAGGGGAGGTGGGGGTGATGTGGAAACAGGTGGTGGGAATGCAGTGCACCTGCCGTGATGAGCACCAGCTGTCTGTCCTACAGAACTGTTGGATCCCTATCTTGTACGCAGGAAACCAGTGTCACATAGTGTGCTAACTGCTGGAAACCAAATGAGACGCAGGGTATCAATAAAACAAAACCCCTCCATGCCAGTGAAGGTGGTCTTGAGGGCCTTGAAGGTGCCACGGCGGTGTCCACCCTGGAGGAGACGCCCCAGCCCCGACCACCTGCTACCCAGGCTCCTTGGCCCTGGCTGCTGCTGGAGCTGGTCCCGCACACCACGGAGACAGGCCCCGCCCATCACGGGGAAGGCCCTGCCCACTGTCAGGGTGGCCCCGCCCACCACGGGGACAGGCCCCTCCTACTGCAGGAGCTGGCCCCGCCCACTTCCAGAGCTGGCCCCACCCGCTACCGGAGCTGGCCCCTCCCACTGCTGGGACAGGCTCCTCCCACTGCTGGGACAGGCCCCTCCTACTGCCAGAGCTGGCCCGCCCACTTCCAGCGCTGGCCCCGCCCACCACCGGGGCTGGCCCCGCCCACCTCCTGAGAGCCGCGGCCCAGCCGGACGCCGTGCATTTCCCGCAGGAGCCCTGGGCCTCAGCCCACCTGTGCGCGTGCGGGGCGCGGGGCTGTGTGCGGGAATGCGTAGGGTCCTCGCTGTCCTGTGCTGCCCTGCAGTGTCCCCTCCGCCCAGACAAGCGAGTGCTCAATCAGCAGGTGCCTGTGGAGCCTCTGCGGACCCGCCGCCTTTCTGGGTGGCTTCCGCAGGTGCGGTGCGTCCTGGAAACGCCCTGGGATGTGGCCCGGGGCTTAGGCTCCCACCCGGCGGGGGCGAGAGGGCAGCCGGCCTTTACTATGCGATGACCGGGCTCTGCAAACGTTCCCAAGAGTTGGATTAGGGTATGAGAAGGAAGCCAACAGGAGGGACAGGGGCCAGAGCTGACGGTGGCCCGCGTGGCGGCGCTGACCCAGGAGAAGAGCCGTGCAGGGCTCACCTCGCATGCAGCTGGGCTGGCCTGGCCTGGCCCCGGGGGACGAGGCTTCTGCCCACCGGCCAGTCTCTGAGGCTCAGCCCTGAGACCTGGAACGGACTGTGCATCAGAGCCCCAGGCATAAGTGCTGAGGTCCTAACACTTCAGCTCTGACAGGGGTTTCTGGAAGCCCTCGGACTGCTGACCCCGACAACAACCTAGCGAGATGCTGACCCCGACAACAACCTAGCGAGACTAAGAACCCATTGGCCAGGAACCTTCCAGGAAAGGCCCCTCTGCCAGACAGGCAGCCGCTCCTGCCGCTGGGTGCAGGCCACGCTCTTACACCTGGCTGGGGCTCAGCGTCCCCCCGCCAAGAGGAGACCAAGGCACAGAAGCATGGACGGGGCTGTGCGGGTGCCAGTCTGTCCAGAGCCAGGACGGGAGCCACATTCTCTGCCCTCCCTGCCCACCCCGCTGTGTCAACCTTTTCTTGATGGGGCTACATTAGAGGAAATGAGAGAAGCGCCTGTGATCCTGGGGAAACAGGCCAGCATGGTGACCGAGGTGAAGGCAGGCTGGCTGCTGGAGCGATGGTGGAGACCTGACGCAGCAGGCGCGACCGGAGGCGGCCCTGGCGCCGCAGAGCTGGAGCCCCAGGGAGTGTAACCCGCAGCGTACTCGTTCGTGCACCTCCACATGCCCCCTTGGCTTAAAAAGCATCATCACGGTTCCACGCATAAAATGACATTTGATCCATTTTTAAGCCAGTGAAATACGCAACTGTTACGTGTAATCCTTCTTCCTACTGCTTCACTATCCCTCCAAGAAGCAATTAAAATTCGAAAAAAAAAAAAAAAAAAACAGAGACCACACAGTTAACTGTGTTTGTTCATGTGAAAGATGGGGCGGCAGGGCCCCCTGATGCCTCCCAAAAGCTTCTCCCAAATACCCAGGATGACGATGCCTTTAAAAATCAAGATGCAAAAGTAAGTAAGTAAGTAAGTAAGTAAATAAATAGATAAATAGATAATAAAAATAAGAAGATGCAGAACGACTACTGAGAACATACCCGAGGACACACGAGGTCACCTGGGGCGGAGCACCGCGCCCTGAAGACCCAGAAACTCCTCTGATTCACCACCTCCGTCCCCGACGGCTCCTTCTGCAGGATCAGATGCTTAATGTGAAAAATTTCAATGCTGTATAATTTACTGCTTTGAAAAATGAGTGAGCCGCCTGCGCTTGACATGCCTCTTTGAAACATGGAATATTTAAAATTCATACCCCAACGTAGTGTACAGATAGATCACATATTCCGATGACTTCACTGATGCAACGGGAGCCCTGTAATATCTCACCAGGTGTGTCCTACTCCTTCTCATGTGTATCCCGTGAAGATTAAGAGCCTACATTATTGCCTTCAAAATGACCTGCTATTTCCTGGAAACAGTAATTTGCCAGACCTGTCCTTGTCCCTGGGTAAGTGTAATACCTTCCCCAGTCCTCCCTCCGCTAAGTGATGTGTTTGCATCAGAAAGATGGATCTGGGCCGCAGCGGGGGCACAAGTTCCGTGTCTGTTCTCCGAGTGCCATCTAGAGGTTTCGCGGGGCCTGAGACCCGGGGAAGGGGAGGACCTCTCTGTGGGCATGGAGCCGAGCGCAGTGCGGCAGGGAAGGGACGCCTCCGGGGGGGATCATGGGTCACAGCCACTCGGCCGAGGGCGCCCGAGCCTGGGGGCTCTCTGGCGACAGACGTTCCCCAAACCACATACGCACACTCCCACCTTTATTAACAAATAGTGCGAAACACTCTTAAAAAACACTTTTTTAAAAAAGATTTTATTTATTTATTCATGAGAGACCCAGAGAGAGGTAGAGACCGCAGCAGAGGGAGAAGCAGGCACCCTGCAGGAAGCCCAACGCGGGACTCGATCCCAGGACCCCGGGGTCACGCCCTGAGCTGAAGGCAGATGCTGAACCGCTGAGCCACCCAGGGGTTCCCCCTGCAAAAAAAAACTCTTAATGACAAATATCCACCCTCCAGTAAAAGAATCTGAATCTCAGTACCTTTGCCACGAATACGCATCTGTGTGTTTGCTTAGGGCCATTGTCATGGTGCACGTGCTCCACAAAACGTGATCTAAATCTATTTGTGGTTTTTAACTTTCTAAGCCATTACTGTTGACATGTGGGTTCCCCCTGCGCTCCTGGGTTAAAACGTCTCGTAGGGAGCAAAAAAAATACATGTTTTCTGAAAGCCACGCATTTGTCGCCCAGAGAGTGAGGCCCGCGTACCACGTCTGAGCTCCGCCTGGGGCGTCTCACACTCCCGGCCGTCGAAGCAAATCCCCAGGATGGGCCTCCTCGTCCAGGAGCGGCGACACGGGTCCGAGGCCGCCGTGTGAGACGTAGGCCTCGCTGTCGCGTCTGTGGACTAAGGAGCCCACTGCGTGTCCCTTGGGGGCACTGAGCTCCCTGCAAAGGGCGTCCAGGTAAACACGTGACCCGGCCGGGCGTCTGGGTGACAGGATGCACACGATGAGCCGTGAGCGCACTGAGCACGACGCGGTGAGGGGCACCTCCCCGTTCCCGGGTCTTCGCCCCACAGATGTTTCCCCTTTGCCAATGCACCCCTCTGGTGCTTAAACCAAGAACAAGATGCAGCCCCTCATCTGAGCCCACGCGGCTCGTGCCGGCCGGGCCTGAGGGCAGGGGGGAGCCCAGGAGCCCAGTCTCAAGACACAGGGGACGGCAGTCTTAGAACCTTACTTTTAGAAGACATAAAATCTTTATTTTGAGTTGACCCAGCTACCGTTTACTCCCTGCGCCGCCGCCCGAGCCTTCCCGACATGTCACGAGGTGGTGGGTGTGCACGCGCTGCGATCCAGCACGCCTGCACACGGCGGGCGACCCGCGCCCGCGATTATGTCCGTTCTGCAGTGAGAACTGAGGCCGACTCTCGTAGCAGCCCTCAGCTGTGCATTTCGTGCTTTGATTTATTTATTTGAGAAACAGGGATCCCTGGGGGGCTCAGCGGTTTAGCGCCGCCTTCAGCCCAGGGCGTGACCCCGGGGCCATGGGATTGAGTCCTGCATCAGGTTCCCTTCATGGGGCCTGCTTCTCCCTCTGCCTGTGTCTCTGCCTCTCTCCGTGTCTCTTATGAATAAACTAAATCTTTAAAATTAAATTAAATTAAAATTAAAATTTAAATTAAATTAAATTAAATAAATAAAATATAATATAAAATAAAATAAAACAAAATAAAATAAAATAAAACAAAATAAAACAAAACAAAACAAAATATAAAATAAAATCTCCCTTTACCTGCAGTGAAACCCTGTTGGGCCAGCTGGCATTATCAGGGACGCCTTTAAATTTCAGAGCTTCTTTTACGACCTTAGGAGAATAGGACACGACCTCACGGAGTTTGGATTGGCCCCGATGACGGAGAGGAGACGTTCTGAAAACGAAAAGTGTCTCGTGCAAGCAACACGTCTAGTCTAACACTGGACCATGGAGGTAGGAACGTGGCGCCCCAGGGAGCTCAGCCTCTTCCCAAGAAAGGGAGAAAGAGCTGGAAGAGAGGCTCTGCGCAGCTGCACGTGTTGACCTTCCCCGAGAGGCCCAGGGCGGCCACCCAGCCCCGCGCTCGTCACCTCGGAGGACGCCCGACCCCGTCAAGACCCCCAACCAGGCCGTCGGCGCAGGGGACCTACCGCGGCCACCAGCACATCTGCCTTCCTCTGCAGAGCTGCTGCGATGAGCTGGGAAGGCCCCGCAGCCGGCGGGGACGCAGCCCTCGGGGACGAGGCCGCTGGAGGGCCCGTGGGTGGACCCCCTGCCCTCCGTGGACCGCACGCCACACCGTCCGGGACAAGGCGTGTGAGGCCGATGGGAACCACACAGGTGCCACACAGGTGCTGTTCAACATTTTATTGGTGTACAGCGTGGGAAAGCAGAGCACAGCCAGGAAGGTGCGTGCAGGGCTCTACAACCCAGACCCGGAGCCGTGAGGACGGGGACACCGCGGCCCCCATGCCCGCCCGGCCACGGGATCCGCGCCCATGGGGCCAGCGGCCCGCACTCCGCCCGGGGACCTACAGCAGCAGCGCCCGTGCCCGGTCAGAAGGGCCATGCGAGCCGGGCACGGGCCGCGGGGCCTCGCAGCAAGCACACGCCCCCCCCCCACCCCGTGCCCCTCACGGGCCCGACGCCGACGCCGGGATGAGCTTGGGCTTGGCCTGCTGCGGCGGTGACACCTCCGGGATCTTCTCCCCGTGCTTGTAGACGCTGACGGTGACGTCGATCTTCTCGCCCCCGTACTTGTTCTTGACGTGGATGCTGTACTTGCCCGAATCCTCGGAGCTCACGCCCTTGATGGTCATGCTCACGTACTTGGCCTGCTCCACCTTCACCGAGAAGTGGTCGCTGAGCTCGATGTCCTTGTCATTCTTGAACCACACCACCTCGGGGTCGGGGTTCCCAAACACTGTGCACGTCAGGTTCAGGGTCTTTGAGAGGCAGGTAAGGGGAGAAGGGTTAGGGTTAGGGGCGCAGAGGTCGCGGGGCATGCCCCGGGGCTCGGTCACCCTCCGCCGCCCACGGGGGCCTGGTCTACGTCAGACTGGGACACGGCGGGCAGGGCTGGGGCGCTACCAGGGACAGCCGGGGGTCATTCTGCGTATCCCAGGCTTTAATCTGCGGCTCAGCCCGTGAAACAACGTACAGGCGCCTGAACGCCATGCCTGCGGGACACACATCGAGCCCGTGGCTCAGTTTCCCTCCTATTCCAACTCACGCATCCGCGTTGCCCAGTTCCTCTGGCGAACCCAGAGGAGGCATCGCCTTATGGCCAGCAGATGGGACGCCGTGAACGCACCGTGAAGGCTGAGGTGCCCCAGGGGCTGAGCCCCGAGGCTCAGCCGCCCCGTCTCAGCTGCTCTCTAGGCCTGGACACCCCAGAATGTTGGCCGTGTCCCCTGGACACTGACCGAGGTCCCGAGGCCACAGAGGCACCACCTACAGGTCAGTATCTCCACCGACCCCAGCGACCTGACCCTCCAGCCAGGGGTCCCCGTTATAAATCCCAAAATGACCTCGACAGCTGAGCAGACCTGTCGCCCTGGATGCAGGTGGTGCCCCCTTCCTTCAGGGTGCGGGGGGCTGGCCTGTGCCCCGTGCAGTCACTGCCCCTGGGCTCTGAGCAACACGCAGTCCCCTCCGCAGATTCCCCACACCCAGGAGTGGGACCGCCTTGCACGGCCAACACCCCCCAGGCCCTGACTGCGTGCCCTGCTGCCCGGCCTTACCTTGCCCTCCATGATGGTCACCACGTCAGGCAGGCCACCGATCACCTTGCCGCGATCTGTAACATGAAGGCGGCTCGGTTCAGAACACGATGGGGGGGGTGTCCCTGGGGAGGGGCCCATGCGGGGCAGCACCAAGATGCAGGGAGGGGCGTCCACGATGATGCCTGTAATGGGGCGGGGGTAGCCCCAGCCAGGGGGCCAGGGGTCGTGGGCCCTGTGCAGGGGCGGCCGTGAGCGCCCACGGGGAGCGAGGGCCAGGCTTGAACTCACCGGTCTCCACCCGCAGAACCACATGTGGCTATGACCTGCTCTGCAGGGAGGGGGGTCCTGGGCCTGGGGGGTGGGGATTCCCACGGACAGGGGCTGCCGGGAGCCTAGGCTGTCTGCATATGACCACACTGTGACATCTAACCTGGCTGAGGACACGGACCCCCAGAGCCAGTGCTGACCTGCCCCTGCCTCCCCGACCTGCCCCACCTCCCCGACCTGCCCCAGTTTCCCCGACCTGCCCCGGCCTGCCAAACCTGCCCCAGCCTCTCAGACCAGCCCCAGCCTCCCTGACCTGCCTGCCTCTCAGGCCTTGACCCCTCTGAATTGCCCCAGCCCCCTGACCAGCCTCACCTCCCTGACCTGCCCCGACCAGCCCCGGCCTCCCCCTTCTCGTCCCCACACCCAAAGCAATACTCCGCTGCCCGGACCATCCCAGGGCCAGGGCCGGCCATCCACGGGCCTTCCCCACGGACCAAAGCTCCCTAAAGTCATTCAAGCGAGCCAGCTCTGCATCGCCAGTCCCCTGGACGCCCCGCGAAGGCCATGGTCTAGACTCGCCCTCACTGCTGCCTCTGCCTCATGACCCGTGGCTTCTGCGGGGGCTCTGGGCGGCAAGCCACCCCGGGACCTGCGAGTGTGGCCGACTGGTCTCCTGTGCCTCTGCTGTGCATCCTCTACCTATGGCCACACCTGCCCGAGCACCTTGCAAAAGAACGGGCTGTGGGTGCCGGGAGTCACGCAAGGTTCTCCCCTGGGGCGCGCAGGGTGCTGATTGACGTCGGACACCCCACACCGGGACACTAAAGCCGAGGCCCTTGCCCACCCCGAACAATCCTCGGTGACCGTAATGCAACATGTACTTACTCTTCTCTGCAAACGCCGCTGCCCTAAAAATGAAAAGGGGGGGAGAATGAAAAGACAGTCCTGAGAAGACGCTGCCACAACAAGCGCCACACACTTCAGAGCTTTGCTGGACGCGAAAGCGAAAGGAAGGAGGACCAGTGTTGGCTGCGTCCTAGAGGAGCGGGTTCGCGGCGGCACCCGAGGAGCTACGCACGGTGGGCGCTTCCACCGACGTCTCCCCCGCGGGCGCTGGGGCCGGTCCCTACCTTTCAGCAAGTGAAACCCACGGAAACCGGCTCAGGATTCAAGCATGTAGGTTGGAGATATTTCTTTTTTCCCCTAATTCCCCAGATTGCTTTGGCCTCGGGCGTCTGGGCATCGCTCAACAGACACCTACTGACTGATCGAGGCCAGCGGCCGCTTTCCCGTTTGGGCGCTTGCAAGGCTCAGATACACATTTAGAAGCCGCGAGGGGATCTTTAGAGGGTTGCTGGGAACACGGTGGTATTATTCAGCAATAAAAATAAAGGAGCCTTCGGGCCCCGTGAAGACACAGAGTAGGCTAAACGCAAAGGACAAAGCGAAAGACGCCCGGCTGAGGAGCCTACGTGCCGCGCGACTCTGCCTCCAGGACATTCTGGGGAAAATCAGAACCACGGAGACGGAGACGGGAGCAGGGCCCTGATGAGTGGTCGACAAAGGGCGGGCGGAGGGAGGCATAGCAGGCGGAGCACGGCGCGCTCACCCGTCCAAGCCCCAGAACCAACCACAGCTGGAGGGAACCCCGGGGGACACCGCGGACGCCGGGCGACAGCGTCCGTGCGGGCTCACAGCTGTGGACAACGGCACCGTCGGGGGTGCAGGGGGCAGGGGAGGCCGTGCGGGGCGCGAGCCTGGACACACGGGGCAGCTCTGTACCTTCATCTCAATTTTGCTGGGATAGAATCACTTGAAAAGAAATTAAGTATTTAAAAAGAACCTAAATGTATAACATTTAAACAGTTGCTTGCTCAGGGAGATCGTGAATACTTCGCCCACTCAGACCTTTGCCACTTGGATGAACCCAGGGTCACGACAGGCCCCGAAAGTCCATTGCGAGCACGCGTCCTTTAGGAGTGCACCTGCCCTCTGCGCCCTGCACCCAGTAACCTGCGCCCGGCCAAGCGGCCCCCGGGGGGGCCCCCACGTGGATGTGCAAATCCACGCGACTCCATGCAAGTCTTACTTGAGCTGCTGGAACTCTGCGAAGGCCTCATCGAACGCTGTAAGGAAACGTGTGGTGCCGGTTAATGGTTTGGGCTCACCGTCCGCCCACTCGGGTGGTTCCCTGGTGAGCCGGCCCCGGTGGGAACGGACAGACAGCCAATGGAATGGACCGGCTACTGAGAAACCATTTTCTCTGAACGAAAACCACACGATCAGAGCGTTTCGGCTTCTAGGGTTCTCGGTGGATCATGGAACGCGACGTCGGGAGGCGCCGGGGAACGACCGTCTTACCCTGGCCCGACAGGTCCAGCGAGCGCTGATGGTTGTCTTTGCCATCATAGATCTCAAAGGTGTATCTCCCTTTATCCTTCTCCGTGGGCTCACAGATCTGCAGCCAGGCCATCTCTTCACTGCCTCCAATCCTCATATGGTCACTGGACGAAATCTTGGCATCTCTTTAAAAAAAAAAAAAGGGAGAGAAATTCATGTCAACGTAGAACCTCGTATCACGCACAAGGGAGCCACGGGGCAGCAGAGCCACGTCTGGTGGGACGCCTGCCCAGCCCGCGGATGCTCACGTCCCAGATATTTCTGGCTGTTAGAGGTTTATCAGCTACGTCAGTAGCTCAGATCTGCAAACCTTCAAAAATCAGACCTGATACCTACTTTTTATTTATTTATTATTTTTTAATACCTACTTTTTAAAGATGCATCGTTATTTCACGATCATTAATTTGCGTTGTTTATGTAAAAATAATGACTGTGATTAATGTTATTTATGTAAAAATGCTACAGGATAGTAGACTCGAGAACGCTTTACCATACGGCATTTCTTTCCTCAAAACATTCTGATTAGCACGTGACCCGGCACTGGCAGTTCCTGGATATGACCCCGGGGAACTGAGAGCAGGGACGCAAGGGTCAGGGCCCAAAAAAGGGCGTGATTCTGACGCCTCCTGATGTGGATGGACCCGGGGATGGGACACTATGCCGAGCGGGGGGAGTCGCGCCCCAAAACACGAAGACGGTGGGATTCAACTGGGAGGA